GTAATGAAACACGCTGTTGAAATCATTTTAACTTTGAGCGCCACTTTAGAAGGCTCAGCTGACCAGCTATGCGTCAATGCTAAGACAGAGATTTCGCTTTCCTTGAACATGACAACCTATTTTCACAAATATATATGACTCGGCCTGGAGGACAGACGCAAGTAATTGCACGCGCTCAGTCGATCTCTCTCTCATTCACTGTCTGTTTAGGCTTGTTAAGTGCAAATCTACGGAGCCTCTGTACAAATCAGCATGGTACACATTGTGTTATCATTACTAACTTGATTAATATTCAGTCCACATGCATGAAGTGTAAAACGAGAAGGGCATAACCTTACGAAAAAAGAAAACACGCAAAAATCGCGGTTGCGGCGGTTCTTGCATTCCTCCGCGGTTTGCTCGTCAATAGCGCGGTATTGCGGTATTGTGGTATTGCGATATTGCGGTTATCGCGACAGCCCTAGTTGAAGTGTCTATTTTTAAATGTAAGTAATTTCGAAAACAAATATTCTCTGATAAAGTAATCTGTATGAAACCAAGGCTTGAGACACGCAAACATGTAAATGCCCACATCACCGTTGTAATCCATCAAGTTCATCTCAGCTAATTTTCTTTTTTGGAAGAAGACGCACTGTGAGGAATAAGCCTTGAATTTACCTCAGAAGAAGAATGTGATGCGACGCGGGGATTAATCCAGCGGAGGATCCCATTCTGACAAGTCATTTATTTTGACTTATATTAGTGTTATTGTGACATAAACTTGTACGCATTTACTAGTTGAACTTTTCCCAAACTATAATGCCAGAATAGAATATGTGAAATCGAGTGCAACATTTTGAAATATGATAGGCAACCTTTCATTGCATATAAATGTTGTAGAACTCATCTACATTTTAGCTTGCATTCTCCGGTGATTTATTAAGGGCATACTGAGGCGCAAAATATGATTTTTACTTCATATTTTGAACACTGCATTTGTAACATAAGTAACATACTTTTATTGACATTAGTAACTGTAATCAAATTACAAAAATTTTAAATGTAATGCATTACATTTCTGTGTTATCAGGAAAAGTAATTAGAATACAGTAACATTACTCTATAATGCATTATATCCAACTCTGCTCATAAGCGTGTCTTCTTCTATTGGATAATATGTAGGACGGTTGAAATACAGTCTTGCGCTACAGTGCCACACTTGTCAAACAGCATCATTGCAGGCACTTACATTAGGTCATACAAGATCAAAGACTATTAAAAAAAAAAAATTTGTGGATAGTGTCGATACTTTTGTCTAGTTGTTTCAGCCCTAGTTAACCCTAACTCCACCAATATAGTTCTGAACATATAGTTTTGGAGCCCAGAGTCCTTCATCCATGTTGAAAGGCTCACCAGCTGGCTAAAGGAGATTAGCTTGTTGAGCCGTGGACTGGGGCATCAGCGCCGATGGCAAAAAGAGCCATTTCTCTCCCACCAGAGAAGCATCATTGACCATGACGGCTCGGCACAGAGAACTTCATTTACACTCCAGTTTCTATTAAATCTGCAGTGGCAACCGCACAGACGCTTCAGTCGAGCTTGACCAGTAAGAGCCGGGAGCTCAACTAGA